ATTTATTTGCTTTTTAATGCTCAGATATTCTCCCATGATGAATAGTTGTGAGCCACTTTATTTGGCGGGAGACTTTAATGTCATGGCCAAATGGGAAGCAGCAGGATCATCATCTTTTCAAAGCTCTCTCCTCTGTGCTGCACTAGACTGTGCTTTGTCCCTGGTGGCTGGTAGTGGAGCCTGTCTCTTGCGTTCCTGTGCTCCCTTTACATGAATTTCTGTTTCTGATTAATTTACCGTTGGTCGCTTTTGGGGGATGCCCTGAAGATCGAGGAATCTGCATTGAAGTCCCATGGAGGTGAATTTTAGATGATTTATAATCTAGTACAGCGAACAAGTCCAGAAATGAGGAATGCAGGTGAGTAGGAAAGACTTGCAACTTGGAGTCTCTCTGTCCAAAGGGTCAAGCTCGGGTAGGAAGAGCTTCCCTTATTTGTGTTTTGTGAAGTTTATGCTAAACATTCTCATATTTAATTTTAGTTTTTAAAAGTGTCTGTGCCACATCTTGCAATGTTTACAAATTTCCAACAGGCACCCCCTCACGTGACCCACTCACATGACGAACTGTGGCTGAGTGTGCTCTGTCCACATCCCTGGTTCTCTGTCCAGGTTGGTCTAAGCACATTGTTGATCATGCAGATATCAGCCCGTCTGGATGTCAACACTCTTTTTTTTTTTTGGGTGAAGATTTATTTATTTATTTATACAAGCACCGGGTACAGTCGGAAGTGCGGGATGGTGAGAGAATTCACCAGAGTCAGAGCGGAGGGCAGAGCAGGCAGACTGATGAAATACACTGCTGAGGGGAGCAGAGGGCAGCAGGAGAGGTCTGCGCGCAATTTGACCCTTACCCTGCGGCCGGGGATCGAATCGGTGCTGCAGAGGCTGCGGGCAGCTTTGCAACCCAGCGCTCAACCGCTGTGCCACTGGGGAGGCCCTGGATGTCAACACTCTTTAGAAATGTGGCAACTAACTGATTTCCTGAAATCAGTAAATATCATTTTCCTTACTGATCTCATCTCAAGAATGATCTTTTCTCTCCTATAACCTAGTAGATTAGAACCAAATGGATTTTTCTCCCTTCTGTTTCTTCCCACTGTGGATGGTAGGAGGCAGTTGGTGGGGGCAGGGGGACTCCTGAATTTTTGAAGGCATTTGTGTTCTGGTTGACATCTGATAATGTTGATTCCCTCACCTGTTGAAATGGGTCTTGCGGAGGCTTTATGGAAACCAACTACCGGAGTCTGAATTTGTTAGAGCTTCAATTTAGAAATGATTTCTTGGTATCTTTAGCTCTCTTGAGAAGATGAGCTGTGGCTAAGGGGGCGCAAGAATCTTAGAGCCCTAGGGACAAAAGACTTACCCAAGAGCCGGCATGCATATTGTCTCATAAATATGGATGTTTGGGGGGATGTCAGTTGAACTGGGACTCAAGAGAACCAAGTGACCCAAAATGAGGGTGCAAGTAAAGAAATGGAACTCAAGAGGGCCATCCGTCTAGGTTTCAAACATCGCCCTTCCGACCCTCCTGCCTATGACACAGACTGTGTTATATCAGGAGGAGCTTTGTGCTGGGAGCTGTGGGCTAGAGAGGAGCCTGGGATCTCCACAGCCCAGGTCCCATGCCCCAGCTGCAGCCCAGAGTCAACAGTGTAAGTTATGTTGCAAATAATGGAGAACCCAGAAGGCAGAGGCTTAAAAGCAATGGGGTTTCCTTTCTCTGCCCAAAAGTTTGAAAGTCAAAGGCTTAGGGTGGGCTTAACGTCTGGGTGGTGCCAGGCTGAAGGCAGGATGGCTTCTAACCTTTCCCACCAGGTGGCGATGTAGGTGGGTGGAGCTGTGTTGGAGGGATAGTTGTGAGGTGGGCTCTCCCTCTGGCTGGTGTGGGCAGTGGTTGCCAGAGGGCTCCTGTCCTCCTCCGACCGCTCTGTTACCCAGACTACTGTTTTGGGAAAGGATGAAGGACATCCCTGCCAAGAGGCCAGGCTGGATTCCCAAGTTGGAAGGGGCAGTCCCAAAGCGTGCAGGGCATTGGACAGTCCTGTCCAATGACAGGATTCCTTCAGGATTCCTTCATGGAATCCTGTCAGTTCCTCAGTACCTGGTGCAACAAGGCCAGCACAATCCTTTCCCACACAGTTGCTACCTGGCACTCTGTCAAACGCCCACGGCTGAGTCCTTGGCCTTATGGAGTTCATTTTCATTGTAAACTATACAAGTGTTGCGCTGAAGGGTAGCAGTAGTTACCTAGGAAGGCCCAGGACCTCCGGCCCTCAGGAGTTGCCCTGGGGCCAGACAGTGGGACGGTCCCGGAACTCCTCTTTCTCTCCTGATTTTATTTATTTGCTTTCACATTTCCTCTTCTTCTCTGGTTAAAGGCAGGCTGAGTTATGGTGCATTGTGGTGCCTCTACTCCAGCCCCTTTACCTGGAACCCCTTTATCCTTTCCCCCCCACAGTGCAGCAAGACCATGTCTTGGGGGCAAGCATACATCTCAGACCCAGAAGTTAGGTGTACAAGATAGACTCCTAACTTGGCTATTCTTTAATATCATTTAATTCTCAGGCTCCCATTCTGCACAGGTAGAGGACGCTTATTTTTGGTCAGGTGGGAGCGCATCAGAGCTCGGGTTGCACTGGCTGCCTGGTCCTGGTATCCTGTCCTTGTCCCACCTCAATTTGCTTCCAGAAATATCAAAACACATGAGCAAAAATACACTCGCTTTTTCTTTTTTTTTTTTTTTTTAATAGAAGCATGTTTTTTATTTATTTATTTATTATATTTGTTTGTTTGTTTTGTTTATACATGCACTGGGTACAGTCAGAAGAGCGGGAGGGTGAGAGAATTCACCAGAGCCAGAGTGGGGAGCAGAGCAGGCAGAAGGACCGAAGTACACTGCTGAGGGGAGCAGCGGGCGGCAGGAGAGGTCTGCGCGCCATGTGGGATCCTCCTCCGGTGGCCGGGGAGCAGCCGGGGATCGAACCGGCGCCGCAGAGGCCGCGGGCAGCTTTGCAACCCAGCGCTCAACCGCTGTGCCACCGGGGAGGCCCCTACACTCGCTTTTTCAATGCTCTTGGGGTTTCATTGAAATGACTAAAGCTAAGAAAATAGTTACATTATTTAAATTAATCTTTTAAACTTTTGTAGTTGTCTGCTAGCTTATCAAGGAGTTTTCAAAACTTTTTGGGTGCGTAAACACACTATTTCTGAAACCACCGTATTTACACTTTCACTTCCCACATACATCAGTTGGGCGACAAGAAACCGTCTGAATGATGCGCAAAACTGAGGTTCTCGGAAACACGTCCGGACCTGCTGTCCCACGTTGTGTCTGCTCCACTGCTCTTTATGCTCAGAATATCCTATTCCCTCTATCCTGCCCGGTCTCCCCCAATCAGGGATCAGTGCCAGTGTGTCTCCCTGATTTTACCTGCAGCCCCCTCATGTCAGCAGAAGGAGCAGCTGTCACCATTGTGGTCCCTCCTCCATTAGAGCCCCTCTCTCACCGTAGTAGGGAGACGGTCTCCCAAGAAGGTCCCTTCTCCGTGCTGCTGCAATCTATGTAAACATTTACATATGTCTTAGATGTGGTGCCTAGATGTTTAGACCCACAGAATCTGAAATCTCTCTTAGCCCTCCTGTTTACTGGTTGTCAAAGGTGTCATCTCGGTGTGTCCCAGGAGCCTGGACGTGTGCTGCTCCCGTGTCTGCTTTGATGTGGTTACAGTCGTGAGCTGCTTTGTTGCTCCATTCCTGGTGCCAGTTCTTGTTTATTTCTCTGTATTTGGAGGCAATTGAATATTTGGGGGCTAACAAAATACTGGCTACTTCATTATCCCCCAAAGATACAGAAATAAATAGGTTCGGTGCATCCCCTCCAAATTCACTGTTGAAGTCCTAAATCCCAGTATGTCAGAATGTGACCTTAGTTCGAAATGAGATGGTTGCAGATGTAATTAGTTAAGCTGAGGTTATTCTTGAAGTAGGGTGAGCTGTTCATCCAGTATGACTGGTTCCTCATAAAAAGGGGAAATCTGGACACAGACAAAGACATAAGGAAAATGCCCTGTGAAGATGATGACAGAGATTAAAGGGCACCAGAGATCTCCAGAAGTCCACCGGAAGATGGGGAGAGACGTGGAAAACAGATTCTCTTTCACTGCCCTCCGAAAAAACCAAAGGACTTCCACCATCCAGAGCTGTGAGACAATTCATTTGTGTGGTGTAAACCCCACAGCCTGAGGTACTGTGTTACGAGGGCCCTAGTCAATGAATACACATGGTACAGATTCTGAGTCAATATTAAACAAGTGAATGAATAGTCCTTTCCAGTACCGGGTCTGCTGAGTAGTGCCTCATGCAGCTCTTGGGCCAGGCCATGCTGTGCAGCGAGCTTAATGCGGGGAGAGCCCCGCACCGTGGTGACTGGCATATGTGATATGGAAGTAAAGTGTCTGGTATTCTTGGGCCTGAATGACAATTAGTGGGGTGATGGAGAATGTGGGGTAGTGGTGAAAAGCTGCACTTCCAAGAGGGTCTTGGATTTAAATTTTGAAAGGGTTGTGTTAACGGTCTCCCACCCCCAGCAGCTTGGCCTTGCTTGGAGTCTTCAGGTGGCAGCAGCGGCTCTTATCTGGTGGAATGGGGTGTGCGGGGCTCTCATTTACCTGAGTGAAGCCCAAGGTGGAAGATCTCCCACCTGGTCCTCACACGTCAATGTTTACACCCCCTTCCTTTTGGGCGCAGACATGAACACACCAGCTGTTCAGGGGTTTCATAGTCCTCCTCTATGGTGCCTCTTGTCAGATTCATCGACGGCATTTACATAAAAGTTTTATGCTTGTTTTGGGCTAAACTGTGCCCCATAAAAGACTGAGCTCTAATTTCTCATACCTGTGACCTCGTTTGGAAATAAGGTCTTTGCAGATGATTTCATTAAAGTGAGTCATTGCCCAACATGACTGGCATCCTCCTTATAAAAGACACACTGTCACATGCAGGGACAACACAAGCGACGACAGAGTGAGAGGAGGGTGAAGCATGCCAACCAAAGAGGGTCAACGATGGACAGCTGCCCCTGCGAACTCGGAGGCAGACCTGAGCAGATTCTTGACCACAGTCCTCAGGAGAAATCAACCCTGGCCACATCTTGATCTCAGACGTCCAGCTTCCAGAAGGGTGAGACAACACATTTTTGTTGCTCAAACCACCACTTTATGGTACTTTGGTTTGACGACCCAATTAAACTAATGTAAGAGGTGATTTGAAGATTTCACATTTAGAATTGTGGGTGATTTGGAGGAGGGACGCCCCATCAACCACCTCACATTTGAAGACACAATTCCAGACTGTGAATACCTGTAATGCCCATCTTGGACATGCACCTCCTGGTTGCATCATGAAATACTTGTTTTTAACAAAATCTTTTAGTTTTGTGTCTTTCTTCCCTCCTCTTCTTGCTTCCTTGTGGGTCCCTTACTCTTCCTGCAAATAGACCGCGCCCTATCTGTGACGAGAAGTGTGTGCTCCGTGGGCTCCTGGTGCCGCTGGTCGGGGGTCTTCACTGTCGCCAGGTAGGAAGCCCTGGATTGTGCTCACAGGCTCGCTGTTCCTCACTCATGGAAGTGGAGACATCCTCTGTCTCCACTGCAACTTGCTCAGCGAGGTCATGGACCCTCATTGTCTCCTGTCAGGCCCTGGAGCTAGGTGCAGCGGAAGCACACGGCAAAGGAGGCTGTTGTGTGTCTAATGTATGTGTCCCTGCAAGATCCATATGTTAAAACCCTAACCCCTTGTGACCGTGTTTGAGGACGGGGCCCATGGAGACGATTTAGATAAGGTCGTGAGGGTGGGGCCTCTTAGAAGAAGAGGAAGAGACCAGAGCTGGCTTTTTGTCTGTGGTGAGAGGATGCAGCGAGGGGGCACCATCCTCAGCCAGGGAGAGGGATGCCATTAGACACCAGACCTGCTGGCACCTCGATCTTGGACTTCCAGCCTCCAGAACCGTGAGACATGAATGCTGCTCTTTAAACTACCCTGTGTGTGGTGGTTTGTTTTGGCAACAGGGGCTGACTAAGACAGGGGCTATGCCTTTCCACTCCAAAAGGACAGTTCTCCTGGGAGGGGGCAGAAAGATGTGCAGGCTGGGGCTGAGGCTGGGGCTGGCTGCTCGTGACTGGCCTGCTGAATCAGGGCAGCAAGAAGCCACTTGTGCCGGAGAGACAGGTTTTCCAGCCTTGTGAGAAACTTAAATTAAGTTTAAGAATTAAGCCAGTTTCACCCCAATTAAAGAAAGTCAATCTGCTGTCTGCCCCCTTTGGCGCTTTCTGAGCTCATGCAGGGCTCTGGGTACCTCAAAGGTGAGTTACTATTGAGGGTCTCAGACAAGAAGCACAGAACCTTGTGTGTGATCTTGTGTAACAGGAGAGGGCACGGAGGGTGGGTGAGCAGCACCAGTGAGGGAATGGGCTCTTTTAGACAAGGGGTGCTTCTCGCATAGAAGGAGCCAGACGTTGTCTCCTCTCTGGGAAGCTCATTCCCAGGCCTTCAGTAAAGGTGATTACAATCGCACACAGTAGTGCTTCTATAAAGGGAATGAGTTTGCATTATTTCTCTAGTTTATAGCTTGATATTTTAATTTTGCAAATAAATGGAGCTCTGCTTAACGCCTGTATATTCAGCACTCCTTGTCAGCATTGGGCTGGATGAGATAATGATGTGTGGGCCATGGTACCTGTCTTCAGGTGTGCAGTCTTGTGAGGGACAGATGCACACACAGACAGACAGTTGCAAATAGCATGAGGCTGAGCTGCAGAAGACAGGGGTCGGATGGAGAGGGTGGAGCAAGGAGCAGCTACCGGAAGGTGGGCAGCACTGCAGGGGATCCCCCACACTGTGTCTAGGACAGCGAGGACTGTCTCATTCAGGAGGCCCAGGGTTTCTTCCACATCTTGACAGGTAGGGAGATTTAGAAAAGACTGGGGCACGTTCTGCTCATGGGACTGTATCAAGAGCCTGGTGGCAGCTGTGTCCCAACTTTACTCAGCTGTTTGGGTAGAAATCTCGTGGGAAATGATGGGATGGAAGATTGGAAACCTGCATAGACAAGAAGGATTTCTACCTTGAGGGGACAGGGAGGTTTTCCAGTTTGCCTTCTGGGCTGAGCAGTGAGTAGTCCCCATAGCGTTTGAACCAGAGCTGACATCCCCAAAGGAAGTTTTAAGGAAGTTCGATGGGGTGGCTGGGTGCCCTGGGCCAAGGGAGGGAGAGAGAGTGGGGAGAAGCAGGAGCTAGTCTCGGAGGCTGGGCTGCCGCACACACAGCCTGAAGGAGTGGAGAGGATGGGAGACCCTCTGGAGGCTCTGCGTTCTTGACCAAACTCCACACGGCTCACGTTAGAATGTATGGGGTTTGAGGTTGGTACGTGCTTATTCTTTTTCAGTAAGTGCTGGTATTTTTAAAGCTATCTTTTGCTTTTGTAATGAAAAACTGAATCCCAGACACAGTACTACGGTTTTGTTTATACTGGTTTAGGAGCACACAGCTTTAAAAGGACATTTTAAAGACACAAACTTCCTTTTCCATTTATCAATAATAACACTTTCCGTGGCAAAGGGAGGTGCAATTGAACACTGTTTTCTTAAACTCCTCTCTCTGATGGAGCAGAAGTGCCCATGGAAGAGCCTGGTAACTTCTCTCTGCTTTTATTCCCCTGTGGGAAGAGACATGAATTTGGAGAGCTCTTTCTCCACCCCTAGGTTCTGTGGCCCACAGTCAACACTCCTCAAGTGAATTTCAAATTCTCTTTCCAATGAGCTGCAAAAGTACTTAAACCATTTATTTGTTCTGTTCTTGGAATCAGAGTTACTCAGCAAACTCCCAAAGAGTCCCCAACCACGAGAAGTCCACGGTAAAACGACATGTTTAAAAGTTGCCATAAATGCTGGCAACTGGACATGATGATAAATCTGAGCCGTTTCACATGGTCAGTGAGGTCAGTCATAAAAGACAGGCACTTAAATTATATCTCCTCTTGCCTTTTCGTGGCCATAGAGATCAATAAATTTTGTAAAATGCGAAGATAAAGTGTGTGAGACATTTTGAATGTTACGTGAACGATTTGCTTGGTGACAGTAACCACGTGACGGCCCCTGGGGCAGGAGGTGATTTACAGCTGATGGCTTCTTGGCAAAAGCCATGTGCATTTGGGGGGTAATATTTTCGAAAATCCCAGCACATGGTTTCTGATAAGATGCATAACTCAGGTACTCGGAGTTGTTTTACAGGGAAAAGATGAACGTATTACATGTAGTCAAGAACCTGGCACGTAGCTCCCCTCTGGGAATTACGGGACTAGAGACTGGGCTCGCCACTGGGGTGATAAAGCCTGTCTGGAAAAGCAAGTGCTACCCTGAACTCAGAGGCAGAGTGCTTCGAATTCAGGGTCTCTCGGGACTTAGTCTGCGTGGTTTCTGTCTCGGCTGTGACCACTTGTGCTGCCCGGTGGGTGGGGGATAAAGGGGTCCTCTCTGGTGGGAGGAGGTGCATGCTATCACTGTGCCATTGGGTGTACTCTGTTCCCTACTGACACCCAAGCCCAAAGCCTCCAATCCTCAGAACTTGGAGAAGACCAGTGAGAGACGGGGAGCTGCCATCTTAACCACATTCTGCTTCCTGTGGGGGCCCATGTGGCCGGTTTGTGCAGGAGAGTTGAATGGGCGGGAGGGGCAGCAATCAGATCCAGACTCTTTGGGTTTGCTGCTCACCAAGTTCTCACGTGCTCTGCCAGGGTCTATGCCCTTGCAGGCTTTCTGGGGGTGTGTGTGTTATGTGTGTATGTGTGTGTGTGTGTGTTTGTGTGTGTGTGTGTGTAGGCTAATGTTCTCTCATGCTGGTTTCCATAGTGTGTATGTGTGTGTGTGTGTGTGTGTGTATGTGTGAAGGCTAATGTTCTCTCATGCTGGTTTCCATAGTACTCTGCCCCTCTTTGGAGCAAACTTCTTCCCAGGTTCAGGGTTGTGTGAGTCTGGAAGCTTCCATGTGCATAGCTCCTGACAGGTAGAAGGGCTGGGAGCCTCTGCAGCCCCCACTCACCACATATCATCTAGCACCTTCTGTGCCAGGTGGCTGCCAGGAGTTGGGGCACCCCAGAGAACAAGCCTGCTTGCTGCAAGGAGCCCCCCTTCTGGGGAAGGAGCAAGTTATCCAATTTTAACTCGTGTTTAATTACTATGAAGAAGGTGGAGCTAGGGAGCTTTGCAATCGACAAGAAGACTGAGTCTTTTAGATGGGGCTGGGGTTGAGTGTCAGAAAGGGCCCTTTGAGGGAATGATATTTGATATCTTAAGGAGAAAAGAAGGAGAATATGAGTTTCAGGAAGAGCTAACAGTGCCCACAGTGACCCTGGGGAAGGAAGGGGCTTGGTATGGGGAGGAAAGAAGAGGGTGGGAATGGGCTGCATAGTGAGGGGGTGCAAAGAGGGGTGAGGTGAAGCTGCAGAAAGGCAGAGGCCAGGCCAAGAGCCCATTTGCTCTGGAGGAAGCCAGCTACATTCTTGTGAGGACACTTTGGCAGACCCCATAGAGAGGTGGGCTTGTGAAGACCTCAGGCCTCCAGCCAACAACCAGTGTTAACAAGAAGTGAGCCATGGAAGTAGGTCTTCCTGTCCAGCCAGGCCCTCAGATGACCAAAGCCCCTGCTGCCATTATTAAACAGCAAAGGATAACCAACACCCAAAATTCTAAGTCCTATCTCTGACCCTAACCCAGCTCTCCCAGAAGGCCTCACCCAGAGTTCACTTGCCTTCTCTTTGTCTCCAGGCCATTTTGCCCCCGGAGCACCAGGTTCTCCTGGAGAGTGAGCTGCTCCCTGGATTTTCCTTTGCGTTCACCTTTCTTTCTTTTTTTTTTTTAAAAAAGATTTATTTATTTATTTATGCAAGAATCAGGGTACAGGCCAGATGTGCGGGAGGGTGAAAGGATTCACCAGAGATGGAGCGGGGAACAGAACAGGCAGACTGACGAAATACACTGTTGAGGGGAGCAGCGGGCGCGACAGGAGAGGTCTGTAGTGCCATGTGGGACCCTCGCCGGCCTGCCGGGATCGAACCGGCGCTGCAGAGGCTGCTGGCAGCTTCATAGCACTGCGCTCAACTGCCTGTGCCACTAGGGGAGGCCCCACTTTTATTTCTAAGCTGTTTTATACTTGGTTCCTTCCTCATCAGCCTCTTTCATGTAACAATGGACTCCTTGAGGCCAGTGACTTGACCTGGCTCACCCTTGGAACCCTCACATTCTGCGGCATAGTTTGACAGTATCAACAGATACTTATATAGCTCTTACTTCATGCTGTGGGGCTCTAAGAGCTTAATACATGTTAAGTCATTTCATCCTCACACAGACCTATGATGCAGGTACTATTATTGGCCTCAGATTTGCTTCTGAGGAAAGTGAGACACAGAGGCGTTAAGTAACAGGCCCGAGCTTGCACAGAGAGAAAGCAGCAGAATCAGGAATGTGAACCCCAGAAGCCAGGCTCTAGAACCCTGTTCTGGTCTTGCTCTGCCATCCAGTTTGGCTATTGCTTCTTGGGAAGGGAATGAAGAGATGACAGGCAGACCAAGAGCTCAAGGGACTAGGGAAAAAGATTTGCCAGAACAAGGCAAGTAGTGAGAATAGTAAGTCAGTCCATGACAAGAAAGGACAGATGGGACAGAGAAATAGAAACTTCTTTTGTCTGGCAGAATTTCCCAAATTCTAGATTAAGAGCTTTATTTCAGTTTGGGGTTAAAACTATAGGAAATACAGATAAGGAGTAGATTTTGTGGGTTCTGAAATCAGGGATATACGAAATAAAATAGAAATTGCCAGAAGGTAATATTTAATGTTTCTGTTTGTTTCCACCTTTATCTGGTCATAAAAGACTTTGGCAGGTCATCTCAGTTCACACTTCCTTTGGGGTCTTCTAAAGTGTGAACAGGAACGGTGGATACAGGACGTGTCTGTGACGTGTGCTGAGCGTGGTATAAGACTCGCATCTGCTGTACCTGGTGTTGCCTGGAGCCTGGGGCAGCAGCGGCAGCACCAAGCCCACAGCAGGCAGAAGTTCAAGACTGCAGTGTTGGTAGAGGAAGTCCCTAGGAAGATGAAAAATACTGGTCAGAAAAGCAACTGTGGACAAAACAAGGTTGAAGACAGCCAACTGCTTGCAGAGCACATGTTCTTGTTGGGTTTAGTCCAGGCTATTATAATCCAGGCTATTACAGCAGAGAATGGTGTTAGAATTTTTAAGAAGAAACATAATTGTCATCACAGACTATTAAATGTGCTCTTGGGTAGAGAATTACTCAAGGCAGGACAAGCTTTTATACGGGAGGAGCTGGTTGGACTGTGCAGATTTCACCAGTGCCAGTGAGGCTGATCCATGGAAACAACCATGGGTGTTGTGTCTGCTGCGTATCTGTTGCCTATAAATGAACCACTCACGTTAGGGTCACACTTCCTAAGCTTTTAATAGCAGTGAGCGTTGGCTTTGTAAAGACCTGGACCACTTCGGTGAGAGAGGGAGGGAGGGAACTTTCCTCTGATTTGCAGCAGGGGAGGGGAGGGCAGTGTGGGGAGGGCAGAAGGGGACTCATTTCGGGCAGAGAGGAGCAGCATGCGGATGGGGTGGGGGGCGCTACACAAGAAGGCCTACTTGCCTCTGCAGTGGCTCTGGCAGCCAACCCAAGCTCTGAAATGCCCCCAGGAGATCATGCCTTCATCTTCTGCATCGTGACAGTGTGTCATTAACATCATGGTGCGCTGACCAGGAGTTTCACAAAAGGTAGTTATGTTACAAGGGTACAAGACACAGAGAGATAGAAAATTATAGGTGCACAGAGCGTATTCCTGACCTTATTGTTTTGCTGTCCTTAGAACAGAGTGTCCTGCCTGGCCTGTGGGGCAACGTGAGCTGGCTTGGATGCAGCTTGGAAGGAAGAGCTGCCCAGGACTTTTGTGTCTTCCTTAAGGATGCTGTTCAGGACTCAGTCACCATGGGAGCATCAGTAGGGATTCTGCCATGGGCCAGTGCTAGTAAGAGCTGTTTCTTCCAAATGATGCTTTCTTTGTGCCCAGGGTCAGTCTGAATTGTAGGGTTGCTGGGGCTACCAAGTTTGCAGTGGCTTCTGGGTCCTTGCAACCATTGTGTGGTCTGATTTCTCCAAGTGTGCAGGGTATGCACGTGACACCATGTTGTTTTTCTTATAATTTTCCCTTTATTGTTTATTCAATGTTTTGTATTTTGATAGCAGATGTAAGTTCATTTTGGGACAAAGTAGGGCATAAGTCCTGAAATAGAGGAATGTTTGATTTAGATAGTAGACATTGTGGAGTCCTGCCTGGAACTAGTGATTCCACTGCTATGGGTTCTGGTCTATGAGGGAATGATTTAGTTTCCTCTCTCCTTGACTAGAAGTAAGGTTGACAATGCAAGGGTGAGGGGTGCCAACTTCCTTACCCCCAAGGTCAAACATTTGCATGTAAGTTTTGACTTTTTCACAACTTCACTCCCAATAGCTTTCTGTTGACCAGAAGCCTCACCAATGAAATAGAGTTGCTTAAGAGATGCTTTTTGTGGTACATGTATTATATACTATAATTCTACAATAAAATAAACCAGAGAAAAGAAATATTATGAAGAAATTAGGATTAATATTAGGAAGAGAAAGTAAGTTTATAATCCTGTATTTATACATTTTATCCTGTAAATTTACATGATGTGTTTATAAGAAACTCTTGTGGAGGCAGACACAGATAGTTCCACCCATGTTGTTCAAGGATCAGCTGTATGATTACCTGGACTTTGATTGATGGATTCATGGATTCACTGGTTCTCTCTGTGGATTCTGATCATGTGCTAGACTGCCCTAGGCCTGGAGAATGGTGTCCACAGAGCTGTATTCCAGTGGCAGGAAATAGACAGAGACTGTGTTAATGGGCAGCGACACTAATTTCAAGTGGGGACTGCTGGCTGGAAGGAAGTAAACAATGGCAGAGAATGGCGGCCAGGGAGTGTGTCAGTTGGCTTTTGTTGCTATAATGCAATTCTGCAGACTGGGTGGCTTAAGCAACAGGCGTTTATTTCTTATAGTTCTGGAGGTTGAAAGTCCAAGATCAAGGTGCCTGCAAAGTAGGATTCATTCTGAGACCTCTTCTCTTGGCATGTTGGTGGCTCATCTCACTGTGTGTTCACATGACCTCTTTGTCAGGAGAGAGAGCATGAACTCGCTCACCTATCTCTAAGGACATCGATCTCTATCAGATTAGGCCTTCTCTTGTATCACTTAATTACTCATTTAACCTTAATTACCCCTATAAAGGCCCTATCTTCAAATACAGTCACCCTGTGGTTGGGGCTTCAACATACAGACTTCAGGAGGCACACAGAGATTCAGTTCATGCAAGGCAGGAAGCAGATGAACTTTTCACAGAGCAGTGAGATAAAACCATTCTGAGGAGGGCATTATATAAGCTAAAACCCAGAGGATGAGAATGAGCTGGCTTTAGGAGATGTGGATGGGGAAGGATGTAAGAGAGAGAACCAGGGCAAAGACCCGGATGTGCCCCTGAAAGCCTAGCAGGGCAGGAGCTTGCTCACTGGGTAGAACTGCATAAGTTGGGCAGAGAGATGGGGGAGGGGCATAGAATTGCAGGATCTTGTAAGCCAGCTGAAGTAAGGAATTCAGGTATTATGCTACATCTAGAGGGGAGTCATGGCAGGATTTGAAACCATGGAAAGGCATGGTTTGAGTTAGTTTTATGAAGCTACATGGAAATGGACTAGAGTGTTTGAGAATGGAGTTGGGAAGTGAATGGTAATGTTGTCTTTTTGGAGTCTGTGGGTTTGGAGTGCAGGGTCCTTGGGTTCACCCTGGGAAAGGTTTCACCAGAGCTCCTGTTTCAGCGACACATGGCAAGTTTCCCCAGCGAGTTTCTCCACGAGACAGAGACATTAGTTATATTTAAAGAGCAGGTTTATTAGGGAAGGGATGAAACGGTAAAAGACACTTGCGTAGACACAAGTGGGCAGGAAGAGCTGCCCCCAAAGGAACAGGTTTGCTAAGATAGGCCTGCATGGTTGCAGGCAGTCGGCCTGGACAGGTCACGGGCAGGCAAGAAGCTGCTGCCCTGCAGAGGGAGAGAGTTGGGGAAAAGAGGCACCTGCATAGTCCCAGGTGGGCAAAGGTAGTGCTGCCCCGAGCCTGTGCAGACACTGCACTGATATAGTCTTCTTCTGTTTGGAAGGGCCTCACTCATCAGTTGGTTGCTAATTTTGGATAACTATGTAGAATTTGAAAGAGAACAGAGATTCTACAATGGGCTCAATCTCCATCTTTACCTTTGGATGTGCCCTTGGATACCGGCTTGGATGTTACGCTTTGCAATCTAGGCGTCCACGCCCACTGATACTAGTCTGTGCTTAAGGATACTAGTTTCTGCAACGGTGTTGTCTTCGCCTAAGGATCTTGGTTTCCACAGCTGTATCAATAGCTATGCTAATCTCTTCTACCCCCACCTCCTTGTGTGAGCCAGGTTTCTGGTCTTGTGGCGCACCTCCTTTTCAGGTTTTTTTTTTTTTATTCTTGTCCTCCATCAGTAACAAGGGCAGTGATTGGGACCCACATGGTGGTCATGGTGTTGAAAAATGAGTATAGTCTGGGAATGGAGAAAATGGGGGAGGTGAGAGAAAGGGAGCACCCCAGGGCAACTTCTAGGTGCTAGCCAGAGAGACAGGTGTGTGGTGATGCTCTTAACTGAGATGGAAGAGCATTGAAGGGAACAGATACAATGCAGAAGGCACAGTCAATAAGATTTGCTATCCTTCCACTAATGTCTTCCTTCTGGCTATGTGTATAGCCTATAATCTCTTCTAGGGAAATCCCATCTCCAATTGGTTGCTTCCAAATGGAAGTCTCAGAGACATTTAAACCTAACCTGCCCAAATCAAATCTCTTCCCACCTGGAAATCAATACCTGCAAGTGTGCTATTATCTTAGAGTTTATACAAATTCTCATCCTAGAGAAGTAACTGTGAGGTAGGTGTGGTACTAATACTGTTTTGCATCTGAAGAAATGGGGCACTGATGGCTCCAGGAACCTGGATTTACCTAGCGAGCACGTGTGGGATGTGAAGTTTGGAGGGTCTGGCCTGAACCTCCACTGAGAGGTGACTGAGGAGAAAGAGGTTGTGGTGGCGGGGGTGGTGGTGGAGGAGTGGAGGAGGTACATGTAGAAGGAAGGAGAGCATTGAAAGCCCCGGCAGCTCCTTGGGAAGAACAAGTTCTCTTGTCCCTGGTACTCACTGTCTGAGTCCCTAGGAAGCATACATACAAAGGGTTTCAGAATGCAGACTTTGCAGATGTGGGTCACTGCTGCACCTCCCCCTGCAGTGACCCTCAGGGCTAATGGCTGTTGCCATGGTCACAACAGCGCATGGTGATTGGATGGGCCTGTATCTATATATGTCTGACAGCTGAGTGCTTCAGCAGTTGGTGGCCCTTTGGTTTTAGAGGTTGGGAAGGATGTGGATCTAGAGTCCAGAGGCTGGGGCTAGGTTGGCTGTGGAAACTGGGGAAGAGCATGTGACCACTCAGAAGCCTTTATTCCGCCTCCTCAACTTTTATTAAACAGGCCTAATATCACCACATTAAGAAGCAGAGAGGGTGTTGTAAGAAAGTGAGGAATCAGTCTGAAAGTTGTAAAAATAGTGTTACAAAAAGAAAAACAATTTTAATTGTTTTTTTTTTTTTTGAGTAATTTTTGAGCCAGCACTTGAGGAACCTGATTTCCTTAATATAATAATAACAAACATTTCCTTCATGTGAGTAACAATATAAATATTTCCTTCACATCTAAACCACTGAATTTACAGTAAAAAAAAAAAGGCATTTAGATACCAACTTTAATTTTAGTAACCGACTTCAGAAGGAAAAAGACAAAATGTTGTCATGGGTTCCCTGTGTTTGTTAGAAACTAACTAGTCACCTGGGTGACTTTTATGTTGCTAGGAAACTACTTCAAACACTAGAACACTTAAAAAAATTCTTTCCAGAACTTTAAAATTCATGAATTTGTAAGTGCATGATTGAGGGGCACCCGGAGACCCCAAACTGTTAAGGTATACATGTTGTAAGAGAGGTTCCAGCCATCCACACACACATAGGCAAAGGATACCAACATTTAGTGTGAAACATTTTTAATAGAATTAGAGGAGAGAGAGAGAGAGAGAGAGAGAGAGAGAGAGAAGGATTTCAATTAACTGAATCCTGATCAAAGTCCAAAAATTAACCATCCCCTTGTGGGCAAATGTCCAGCTAAACAGGCTCAACCTGAAGCAGGGCAGTTGAGGCCTGGAAGCTTGTGACAAGTCTAAGGCACTTTCTGGCAGGGAACCACAAAAAAAAGGGTTAGGAGGTCCCAGAAAGCTGGGGGCACATGGAAAGACCCTAACTTCAAAGTGTAACATATAATCCACCAAAGGTGAAGACAATGGCTGCCATTATCTCTGTCAAAATCCTAAAGTCCCAAGAGCAGCCTCTCCACATATCTCACCCACATATCTCTCTTCCAACTGTTTCTTCCCTATCTCTCTGCATGTCCTCCTCCTCCTTCATTCCACCTACATTTATATTTTCACATTGCTCCTTCCCAGCAGGCCCCCCCCCCCCATTCAGGAAGTCTAGTTCATGGCATACTGGGAGTTGTAATCCAAGGCAACTGGATGTAAGTGGGGGTGGGGAAAATGGCACCTGTTCACTGTACATCAATGCCACTCCATTTATATAGATGTATTTGTAAGTTTCATCAAGTCAGATGAAATAACAGCTTCTTGTTAGTTAGAATAATAGAATTTTAATTTTAACTTGTAGCATAGGTTTTGAGTCAAAATTGCCCTTAAACTTTACTCTCAACTCTGCCAGCATAAACTTGGATAGACTTGCTTGCTTCTGGAAGCTTCTGATGTCCTGTATGCAAAGTGTGTATAATTGTTTCTCAGATCTGTCTTGAGGAGTTAAAGAAATAGCATGTGTACTCAGGTCAATAAATATCTCTTTGTACTTTTTTGTTTATTTCCACTATTCTGTTTATTTGTTTATTATGTGCCAGAACCTGTGCTGATAACCCAGGTCAGAAGTTTGCCTGGCTCGTGGAAAAAGAGACCCAACTTTTACAAGTGTGACAGATTTCCCTAGCTGAGCTTTGTATTTTGGATCTGCTTTTCATCATTTAGTTGTGGTCTGTGTGGGCACTGAAAAGTGGAAATAAATTAATACACAAGGGAAATGTATAAAGAATCGTATTTGGTAGGTGCCAGAACATTGAGGGAATCCTATGGTAATGGCCAAGTGCCAGCTTAAAGACTAATTTCCCAGCTGCCCTTGCATCTAGATGTGACCAATGAGACTTAAGAGGAAGAATGTAGGTCTTCTGGGAAGGTGCAGCTTCATCTGGGTGCTTTCATTCCCCTTTTCCTCTCCTCTTTCCCCTTTCTGGAATGTGGATAGGATGACTGGAACTGCCAGTGGCTTTGAAGAAGACAGGCATGTGCCCAAGGCAGTAGAACAGAAAGATAAAAGGAGCTCACGTGAGCTTTCTTGATGAATGCAGGTCCCTTGACCATGTGCCTCCATTTCTTCAGATGCAAAAAGAGTATTAGTACCACTCCTGTCGTACAGAATCTTCTCTAGGATGTGATGATATGTATGATCTCAGGATAATGGTACTCCTGCGGTAGTAGGTGTCTGGTGTTATTTTAAAGCACTGGTTCCAGCTGGAAAGAGTTTTTGCTTGGGTTGATTTGTCCCTGATGACCTTGTACTATTTTATTAGCCCTGGACCACCTACTTTCTGTTTTTCATGTGAGAGAATAAACCTTCCTTTCTTTATGTT